ACAGCATTGGGAGGCCGGATATTGCCCATGCAGTGGGAGTTGTAAGCAGGTTTGCAAGCAACCCAGGGAAACAGCATTGGGAGGCCGTGAAGTGGATATTACGATATCTGAGAGGGACTACGAAGGGAAACAGCATTGGGAGGCCGTGAAGTGGATATTACGATATCTGAGAGGGACTACGAATATGCCACTGTGTTTTGGGAGAAAGGAGTTGGTACTGCAGGGATACGTGGATGCAGATTTTACCGGTGATCATGATACGAGGCGAAGCACCACGGGGTATGTTTATACCTTAGGGTCGACAGCAGTGAGCTGGGTCTCACGTTTGCAGAAGATTGTGACGTTGTCCACAACTGAGGCAGAATATGTCGCAGTCACAGAGGCGAGCAAGGAGATGATTTGGCTAACCGGGTGCCTGGATGAGTTGGGTCTGAAGCGGGGGAACGAAGTTCTTTATTGTGATAGCCAGAGTGCTATACACCTTGCCAAGAACCCAGTGTTTCATGCCAGAACGAAGCACATCGAGTTACGTTACCACTTCATACGCTCGATGATTGAGGACAGGAAGTTACAGTTAGAGAAGATTTTGGGGAGCCAAAATCCTGCAGATATGTTGACTAAGGCAGTCACCATTCAGAAATTGGAGTTGTGCGCAACTTCAGTTGGCCTTCATATGTAAGAGATGAGGGCGGAGCCACACAGAAGAAGATGCTTGTTAAGAGAGAGCTTGCTGATGGCGGTATGGTCTCCAAGTGGGAGATTGTTGGAAATGGGTGTAGACCCTTACCTTATCAGCGACGAACGAGATGAGCTCCGGCGACGTCGAACAGCTCAGGCGAGCTCCAGATCATGGGGACTTCAGGCGAAGTCAAATCGGCGGCGAATCGACAGCTTCAGGCGAAGCTGAGTTGGAGAAGGCGCAGATGAATTCGAACAGGCGGATTTTGAGGCTTACAGGCGAGTTTGGATTTTGGGAACTCAGGCGAATGTTTGAGACCCCTTGCTGGCGAGATTCAACGTTTGGCGATTTCGAACGGAGTAAAGTCGGGCGAAATCGTTGCAGGCGAGCTTTGGGGATGAGCAGGCGAGATCGTTGTTCGCCTTCCCCATTCGTTCTTTCGCCAGCGCTGTTGGGAAACAGCTAGCATTAGCTGGCTAGGGTTTCCCTATAAAAGGAAAACCATGAGCAGCGAATGAGTGGTTCAAGCCCATCATTTGTGTGGCTCCTGAGGACGTAGGCAAGTTGCCGAACCTCGTTAAAACTCGGTGTTCTCTGTTCTTGCGATAATTTTTAGATTTGTAGTAATTCCCTTTTTTCCATTGCTTAAACACAAGATCCGGTAGGGCAATTCCGCAGAACGCGTGTCAGAGCGTATCTGAGTTTATCCCCAACATGTAGTACAATGATTTGGACTTACTGCCCCTAGCTATAGTTTCATTGTTGCATATAGACCTCCTGGATTAATTTTCTTACTCTTTTTATCTTAAGATAGACTCACTAATTTCACCCAAAGGCAATATCTGTTGAAAATTCTCTA